GTGCTATGTAGCGCTGAAGTTCTGAGGCTGTGGGAGGTGAATGTCCCGTGCTCTCTGCAGCGGACAGGAGTTGTGCCAGTCTTTCCACCTGAATTGAAGTCCTTGAATGACCGCCACCTTTTGAGTGTCACCTTTCGAATCGAGCCATACCAGATGCTCTCTGACTTGTTAAAGTTAGTAGGAATGTTGGTCCATAGGAGTAGATGGGTTGGGTGCTCGGGGAAAGGAGAAGAAAACAGGTAGTTCCGGAGAGCTGATGCTCGTGCCCAGTAGTCAGTAGCTTCCTTGCATGTGATCAGGCAGTGTGTGATGTTTTCCTGTTCACTGTCTGAGCATACTACACAGAGATCTGAAGTTCTGAGCTGTTCGGGTGATTTTGTCTCCTTCTGATGTGTAGCCAACTGTTCACAGGTAGTGCAGTGTAGGCGATGAGCCACTGTAGGCTTCTTATTTTGACCGGGCGTATTTATTTATATTTCTGCCACGGTATTTTGGATATTTGTCCAGCTTCCTGGCCCAGTATTCTGTTCCACCTAACTTTAATCACCGGATCTGGATCTTTTGTCTTTAGCAACATTCTGTAGCATACTTGCAAGAAGACAGACCGGACGAGCGTCCGGTCCGGTCCTCTTTGCCGTGTGCGGCACCCTCCCCCCGGACCAGACGGGGCCGTTTTTTTTTGTTTTTTTTTTTGGGGGGGGGGGGGGGGGGGCGTAACTGGTCGTCGGGCGCACATTCGTGCGCCGCGCGGGTCCGGTCTGGCGGTCTGCCGCACGCGCGGAACCGCCCGGACGGCGTCCGCTTGCAAGTATGTTCTGTAGCCCATTTTGACTGTGTATTGTGTGACATGAACGGGCGTTTTGCAGAATCTGCTGTTACCGGAGGACCATGGCCACTCATCTGTGTCAAAAATCTAATTCTTGGATTGCTGATTCAGTTTGGAATATTGCCTTGGGCCAACTGCCTAAAACTCTTATTTTACGCAGCATAAATGAGCTCAGGACTGACTGTTGTGGATCTGTGTTGTGGATGGAGGGAGATTTGGGATTGGTTAGGTCTATAGGGAATGAGGTGAACACCCCCGAAAGGTTTGATCCCGGGGCTCTGTGGGAGAATCGATATGCCCTTGCAGGTACCGTCTCCTGTGTCAGTACTCCCCATTCACCTGGCTTCCAAGAGGTCTCTTTGAGCAAGTCCTTCCATCCATCCGGGATACTATTGATTACTGTTTGCAGGTTTTCGTCTCTGCGGTGGCAGCCCTTCAGTAGAGACTTGATCGTTTCCTCATCGATCCAGTCCTTTCTGTCTTCATCCCAGATGTGACTGACCCTCCATACTCTGTGCGTGATCCATGAGAGCCAGCGCTGGCCACTCGAAAGTGAGAGTGAGTGATTGCCGGCGTCTCTCACATGTGGGTTCCCAAACAGGGGTTGGCGCAACACTTCCTCCTTAGATTTAGGCTTCTTGTTCTTTTTGGGCATAATTTCCCTCCATATGTGGATAAGAGCAGTCCAATAAGGAGTGGGGGGCCACGACTCGTTCAGTGAGGCATTTGCTGGTCGTCTCCTGCGGCCAGTCTTCGGAGTCCACTCCTTGTTCATTATCCAGAAGAGGCCTGACATGTGGCTTTCACTTTCTAACAAGTTCTATTGGCGCATTTGTTTTTCATAGGTTTTTGAAAATCTCTCATATTTTGTTTACGAACATCTTGTCCTTTTTACTCTGAGTATACCATCTTAAGACATAGGAGAAAAAAAACGCATGGAGTCGTTGACATCCCATGGATTTCACGACTGAAACAGTCCTGGCCTACTGTCATCACTTTTTTCTTTTCTTTTTTTTTTGACGCATGGAGTCGTTGACATCCCATGGATTTCAGGAGTGAAACAGTCCTGCCCTACTGTCATCACTTTTTTTTTTTTTTTTTTTTTTTTTGAATAGGACGATGGCCTTGAGATATCATCCTTGAGGCTTGAACCGACCGGCCCCAGGTAATTCAGAAGTAACGTTATTTAAACTTATTTTAATATTTTGTTAATCTGACTGCATCTGGATTCGAACTTTGGTCTGCATTGCAACAGTTCATGAGTGTACCAACTGAGCTGGTCATCACATTATAAGGGAGTCACTTTAAATTTCAATTTTCAAATTACCTACCCAAGCTTTTGGCTTTTGTGCAATATGCAGCTTGAAGTTCGATTTGCTTCCCCATAAAGTTGCCCCGAGTCTGAAGACGTCACCCGCAGCTGCAGCCTTCCTGTATATATTCGCTTTGTTTGCTCTTCCCCTTTCACGTGTGTTGTTAGCAGCCACACAATTTTTTTTTGTTTTGTTTTTTTTTAACCCAGTATCCTTGCTAGGAGAGGTGGTAAGAGCGCCCCCTCCTAGCAAGAGACCTGGGTGCTCCGGTCTATTGGTGGGGAGCAGCACCTGCTGGAAAGCGCAGCGTCCCATTGTACATCCGACAGCCTGCCAGCATTGATTGCCCTGTTTCCAGGGGATTTAACTGCGCAGGGTTAATGATAAGTATGTTGGACAACAGGACACTTTAGGGCGTGGGGCCGCCTCTTCAGTCTGCACCAGACTTCCAGATCACTCATGTTTCCCTAGCAGCTACTTCCTACTCCCTCTGAATACCAGCCCACCCTGTATCGCTCGTTCAATAGGAGCCCGATGTCTTCCATGTCCTGTTTGTTGACCTGCTTCCTCCTTACTTGGTCCCTTTGGCCTGTGATCTTGCTCAATCTGCTCCATACGATTGCATGTCGACCATTGCCAGCTGGTGGGGCGGGAAGGGGTCGGGAAATTCTGTGGATGGCCGCAGCGGGATCTCCTGGCCCACCGTAGTCCAGTCTCTGAAGCAAATACGGTAGTCTCTCCTGAATTCCTCCTGGTTACACTCGTGGTTGGGCCTGCTGTCCCATGTGACAGATGCGATCCAGCCCCCGTTCTCACTGCCCAACCAGTCTCCAGAGAATTGATGAATTGCTTGTGTTTATGTCCTTTGATGAGCGAAACAGCTCAAGCTGATTTTTAACTATTTGCCACTGTACCATGAGTTCTTGTTGAATATATTGTCTTATCATGTCTGTTACCTCCTCCCCAGCTATGCGAACACCCTCCATAGCATGTATACAATGTTTCCTCCAGAGGGTCCACATGATCGCTCTCCTCCCTAATTTGAACATGTTGTTTTCAAAAGTATTGTCAGTGGGGGAGGTCCATGCCTCACATAATATGGCCCTCCAATCCCATGGCCAGTTGGACCCAGTGCCAACAGTGTCCAGATCCTATTCCACCATCGCCATGTAAGAACTGCCCCCGGACACTGCATGAATATGTGCTCTATGGGTTCCGGTGTTCTGCGGGGGGGGAAGACAGTGTGGCACGATTTACACCACGGTAGCGCCCGCCCCTTCTGCTCTAGATATGTACGATCTATCAACCAGTCGTTGGTGGGCAGGCAGTGATGTTCTATCTGCCACTGCAGCGAGGCCATTTTCGCTGGCCTAGACTTTGTGGCGGTGAACCATCGGATGGGGCGGATTGCCTTAATCCCTACATTCAAATGAGACCTTCATCGAGCCTTCACCGTTTCTTTTATGTTCACGGACGGTATGTAGCCTTCACTGTTAAGGTATACAACTTCCGATTCTCCCCCCACACGATCCCTGCACGTATGCTAACCATGGATATGATCTGGACGTCCGGGTCTAACCATGGTTGGCATATGCCACTCGGCCACTCTGATTGCCACTGCAGAGTGAGCTAATGGCGTATGTTAACCATGGTTAGCGATCCGGATGTCCAGATCCCTGTCCAGATCCAAGCTGGGAACATCTCTCACTGCAAAAGATGTGCAAGATTGACAAAGAAAAGAAAAAAAAA